TTGTAATTTGATCTGTACAAATCTGCGACGCGATCCTCTTGGCCCGCAATAGCAATGGCTACAAGAAGCTGATTTGGAAAAGAGAATATCGTGACAGCACTGGATTGGGTGCTCCCAGTCATCGCATGGAGGCGCGGGAGACAAACGTAAGACAAAGGAACTTGAAGGGTGCGCTGGTGGCTGTGTATCTTTTGATGAAGTCCAAATCGGGAATCGCGTCTTGACAATTCTGCGACTGTGCTTTGCATCTGCTCCCTCTGCACGGATGTTCGTCAACATTGGCTGCAGGTTACCCTATCCAAAGGCTTAGCGCCTGGCTTTGACCTGTTTCTATTGTCCAATGGATCCCCTCTGGCAACAAACATGTGTTACGCTTTGAGCCTTTGACGTTGCTTTGACCTCTGGAGACAAAGCGCGATCAATGCATTTGGTATATAACCCGGTGGCCACTCAAACAAAGCAAATATCCCCTCCTTCCTCGCACGATGACCTCCAGATCTTATACCATCCCCATCTCTGTCGAGCCCCGCAGACAGCGCACCTTGAAAGTCGTTGGCTACGGCCTCAAGGTTTTCCTCACTGCCAAAGTCTCTGGAAAGCTCATCATCCGCAAGAAACGGAACGACGAGGAAGCGACTAAAGGTCGCAAATTTACTCCGTGGTATCGGACACCCCCAGTGCCAGATCCTTTTGGGCCTGAGATCATTGACGATTCGGATGAGGGGGGAACCGCTATTCCTCCCATGGCTACTTATTTCCCTGAGGATAATCATCAGAACTTGGTCTCCCGCGGCATCAAAGTCAGAGACTTTGCTTATCCCGCCTCTCGTGTCGGACATAGCACTCCCACCCATCCGCATCCCATGGCTCTGAGTATGTGTCTATCGGCATATCTCGATTTTGGCTTATTTATGCCTGTAGCGAAAGAAGGGGAAGAGGAGCTGGGTATAGAGAAGGCGAAGGATATACGTATGTCTCGCGCTCTTTACTAGAGTGGCAACTGATAACATTCCCGCAGCTCTCTCTCCCGAGACAGCGCCCATGCCTTCCGTCTCAATGACATGGGAGGTACCCCATCCATGTCTCCGGCCCGGCCCCGTGCTGGAGGGTGCGTCCCTCAAAGCACCGACTCCAGAAATACCATATCGCGCCATCTGCGAGACCCACAGAATTCCTGCTCCGTTCAGCGTATTCGGTGCCCTCTGCCAGGTCAACGCCCGCCTCGCGCAAAATCCGCGCACCGTTCCCATCCGTGGACTCGTCACCCGCCGTTTGCTCACGCTTTCGCCTCAGATGGTCGATCTCTCGCGTTACCACGAGATGGACTTGGAGGAGCTCCGGCGCTACGACAGGCGTATCGTCTGGCAGCTCATGAATGGCATCGAGCCCTACCCGTGGTATTCAGATCGCGATCCGGCTTGGACGCCCACCGAACAGAGTCCTGGAAGTGTCGCCAAGCAAATGGCGTATCTGGAGCAAGGCGATGCGATGCGCCAACAAGGGCTTCTCTATCATGGCTATAAAACCCTCATGGAGGACAATGCATGGCAGGCCGAACGCCTCGCGGAGTTGCGCGATGAAAACGCCCGGAATGGGCTTGTGTTCGGTGAGAATGACGGGCACCTTGGTCCATTCGATAGAATCGTCACCCCGGACTTGGGGTTCACCATCCGTCAATACATCGGGGTATGGGAGCGTCGTATGGACAGCGACAGGGCCTCGAAGGACTTCGACTCTAAGCTTGATCAGCTGAAGAAACTTCGCACGTACGATCGACTCCAGAGGCGCAGGGCGGGCACTGCGACCGATGCGGACGTGCAGATGCCTTTAGCGCAGGTCGATCCCTACGCTGGAGTCGTCCCCCCATTCACACTGGGCCAGTTGGAGCACGCCCTCCCGCCACTCCCGTACTGGGGTCCGGATGCGGTGTGGGATGGGTATCGGCTGCAGGGCGGAGAACCGACGGGGAAGAGCCTCAACGAGTACGCCGCCGCATTGTCTCGCCGCCATGACGATGGCTCTCCTTGGCCCCCGGCCCCGTCCACGTCTTACAAGCGGAAATTCCACGAGCTGGGCGAGGATGGATCGAATCTCCCGGACACGGGGTCAGAGACAAGTGAGTCGGAGGACGACAAGTCGGAGGCTGACGAGGCCGAGCCTGAGGCTGGTCCAAGTCGAAAGCGTGTCAGGACGGAATAAATCGTATCTTTTTTTCCTATCAAATTTACTGTACCATTATTGTCCTACCTCGGACAGATAGACCAGTCGCCTGCTGCTCATGTACTCAATTTATTCTGTTTCATCTTTGCTTCCCTCTTCTGGTGTTGACCATTCTCAGACCAAGTTCGGTCTAGAAAGACCACGTGAACTTGGCGCAAAACACTTCTGCTCAGCCTCTGCTGGCCCAGCGTCGCGCCTCCCGGTAATTTTGGGAAGCTTTTGCATTTGGATGTCTTGAGTTCTCTCTGGCTACTCTGCACCCTAACTGCACAGAGCATAAAATCTGCGCTGGCAGAAAGTACAGATAAAAATCTCGGAAACGGGCTGTCTGGTCGTATAATTACGACAATCCCTCAAAGCCACAGTAACTGGCCAAGGACCCACCACCCCCCCATTCCACACCCGATTTTATGCACAAATGTCCTGAGCTGAGGAAATTGCCCAAAGCGCCTCACATATCTTCCGTCAATGTACGTTTCATACTCATACCTCCCTTGGCTTTGCCTTCTCATTCGTCTCTTAGTTTCGGCGACAAACCCCGGGCTCGATTAACGGCCTTTGGCAAACGTCAACATCCAAGAACCGCGTTGACCGAAGCCATCCGATCGACCTTATTCCAGGAAAACAAAAGGCATTCATATGGGCTCCCCCTTGCAATGGCTTCACTCTGGGTGCTATACCTATCAGCCTCCTCTTGAAACCAGCTGAATCTGCTCGAAATCCCGGCCATTACAGGAGCAAAACGCTTTTCGATGCCCAGTACCGCGTCGTGAATGCCAGCGCATTCGACTCGTGGGAGGCCCGCATAGCTCGCGGTGCGTCCACGGGCACCGTCGCCCCCGTGATACCCAATGAGCCGCATCACACCCGCCTCTCCATGTCCCTCCAGATGCACTCCACCCGCGAGTTACGCACCCACCATCGCATCCAGATTCTGCGCCGCTTCAAGACTGCGATCTGTCTCATTGCGACGCGGGGAGCCGCTGCGAAGGAGGTCAAGGGGCGGCTCCGGCTCGTCTTCGACGAAGCCGATACTGCGAATTGGATTTTGCCCGGTGCGTGTAGTGCTCATTCGCTGTTTGTTGCCTCACATGCTAACGTCGATCGTAGGGTGGACGTACTACCTTCGCGCGGGCCTCGAGCTCTACAACATGCCATACCCTGAACTAGTCAACACCCTCCGTGCGGCGCTACGCGATCTCTGGAAGCGCGGCACGATACAAGAGAAGCGGTGGACTGCAGTGTCACTGGGAAAAGGCGATGGATCCCGTACGCGTCCCACCAGCCCCGGCCAGCAGAAACGCACGTCTCATACGAACCGCTCAGCGACGACAGAACAGGCGTACTTTCAGCATGGGCAGAAGAACAGGCAGCGTAATGAAAAAAGACTCAATAGTCCCGTATTGGACTTGCTTCCCGACACACCCGACTTTGACCCATTTCCCGCTGTGCGAGGTACGCGTGAGGCTCCCGCATTTACGGGAAGTACTTCTACAGCGAGCGCCATGCCTATCGATCCCAAGTCGCAGAACATCGTCCAGCAGGCGGCCCTCCCCAACGAGCCTGACTTCGATCCGTTCCCGAATGCGCGCCACACCCCTTCCGCGGCTACTTCCCCGTTGGCAAGACGTGCGTTTCCTGCGGCCGGCTCCCCACGGAATGCTGCTATCGAATCTACGTCCCCGCCCCGTTCCATGTCTACACGGCAGAAAACCCCCTCTTATGAATCTGACAGCCACGCAATGACTACAGATAGCGCCCGCCCATCAACTACACCACAGGTGAATTCCTATCCCGGGGAGAGTCGCGATCCTGCATCGCTCGACGCGCTTGCCGCCGTACCCGACTTCGACCCGTTTTCCGCTGAGCGCGGCGTGCTTTCCACCTCAAGAATCTTCTCCACGGAGACAGTTGTGCCTCTCAATCTCGACTCGCAGAGCGTCGTACGGCAGGCTCCCCTCCCCACCGACCCCGACTTCGACCCATTTCCCACTGTCCGTGCATCTACTGTTACGATGCCCATCTATCTAAAACCGAAGGGGTCTAAGACTGCACCGACCGTCCTTCCGCGCGCCGAGCAGAACTCATCTACGGTCCCCGAGAGCGCTGGTGTTGGCTCCTCAGGCTTGGCTGATGTCCCTCTCTCGACCTCGAAGCCCAGTCCCACGCTAAAGCCAAAGGCCAAAACCAAGCTCCCCGAAGCTGTTCGTGCTCTTCCTTCCTTGCCTATCGTCAACTCATCTCTCGCAGGTCGACTGGTGGGCCGTCGGACGCAAGATCGAGGCAGCGATTGGACATGGACAGAGCGAGGAGGTGCGCCGTATTCTCTCTGCGCATTTGCGAGGTCTGTGTAACCTGACTTGGGTTTTCCATTCGCAGGGCTCGACGCGCTGGGACACGCCTAAATCGGCGCAGGTGGATGCGGCTCGCGCCCCTGTTGCGGAAAAGGAAAGTGAGAAGGAGAGGGCGTCGACGCAGAGCAGGCTTGCGGGCATGTTGTATCAGCGGAACGAGGTGGTGCGCCCGGATAGCCAGGAGCGTTTGGCGCGTCGGATTCCCTGGCAGACGCACCGGCTCGAGGAAAAGTAGGATTGGAGGCCAGAGCAGGATCTACGAGTGGAGAGCGTATCTGAATTGGTAGTAATGACTGTGTTCTTACGATAGTCGAGAACCGCTCACAGATTCGCGGAGTGTACTTGTGAGCGTTCTGGACAACAGGTTTGAAACGGGGATTTAATTCAAAAGATATTTTTGTGAAAAACAAGGTATTTAACCCAACATGCGTCCGCCGGGAGTCGAACCCGGTGCTAGGCCATTACAAACTGTATTGATATGCTATGGGAAGACCCAATGTTACCGATACACCACGAACGCTTTGCTGGCTATTCTCAGAAGACAATTAGAGGATCCAATGAGGGAAATAAACCGGATCAGTCAAACTAGTGGCCACCATTCGGCCGCGTCGTTTACTGTACGAGTACATTGTTGGAATGTACTTTCCTGAGTTTGACCACAGTGAGGTGAAACTACCAATTTCTCATAGGTTGGCTTCTCGATTTCTTAGGTCTGTCTCGTCTGGAGGTGATTTTCTGGAGCACCCGAAGACTTCCATGGGACTGAACACCGCGTTTGATTAATTATTAATTAGGATTAATGTATGCGAGTCGACTCAGTCGAGCGAGAATCATGGGCATTTGAATCATGATGCTATCTTGATGCTATCTGGGAGATGCGCGATTTTGTTCATCACGGTCAGGTAGCTTCCGGGTTAATTCCAAAGCTGTCCGGTAATACAGTTTGAAAATTGCTCTCGGGCAGAAAGCGGAAAGATGAAACAAATGGTTGCAGAAGATAAGATAGTGTCGTTCCTGACTGTGAAATCAGCCGCGATCAGTTACACCATCAGAGTTTGTTGCTCGCTGTCTGTGACTGTCTCCTCGTCCTCCCTGGCGGCCACCAGCGATGTTTCGCACCCTCCTCACACCGCTGCGCCTGCGCTTCGACTCGTCCCCGCGCTCGGCCGTCACCCATAATGTCACCACGCCCTCCATTCCTGACGACGAGGAGATCGACCCTGAGGAATTTGCACGCGATGTCCTCATCGAGCTCATGCGGGTGTCGGTCGACAAGCTCAAGCTCTCGGAGACGACGCATGCGCGGATGGAGGTGTGTCCGCTGGTCTGGTTCTTTGTTTCTGACCCGTCTGAAGAGAACGGATGGATAGGTGCTGGCTGAGATACAGCGCATAATGACGCAGGACGCGCTGGGTGCGACCAAGGATGTGTTTCGAGAGATGGACGGATTTGTGGGCCTTATGAGTGCGCTGTCGACCGCTCACGAGCGAGGGCCGGGCGCGACAGAGACAACCATCGAATGCAGCCGGCTTGCATTCGTGATCACCTCCGACGCCATTACCGACCACCCAGAAAATGCAGAGTACTTCAAGGTGCGTCTCAGTAACACTGCAGCTCTATTTTCTCCACTAACGGTCCCAGAAACGCGTCGGCTATGAGTCGCTGGCCACCGCCATCCAGGCGCTTGTGGCCGACCCAGATACTGTCGATTATACCATGGGTCTCCTTCTCTCCTTCGCCTTCCGCAACTTTTCCCTTGCCGGCGCCTTCAAACCCATACGTAACGCCACGCTGACCGAGGTCGACACGACCATCCGCGAGGTCGTCTCTCGCCTCGGCGGCATAAAGCGCCCCGGCGCAATGGCCCTTCTCACCCGCCTCACGCCGCATCTCGTCGGCGACGATCCCTCCATGCGCCACGGCGTCCTCAAGCTCTACGAGCACCTCTCCAACACCACCCACCGCAACCACGTCGTCTTCAGCTCCTTTGGCCTCGCCGAGCCGCTCCTAAAGCGCTTCTGCGCATCCGGCGTGCCTGAGATCGAGCGCAACGTGTTGCAGAAGCTCCTTCGGCGGCTGCTCGACATGGGCGCGACGCCCGCGGTGGCGCGATATTTGTTTCAGACGGTCGTCAGGGAGGACGAAACGTTAGATGCTGAGCTGCTCGAGCTCATCCGCTACGCTATGAAATCGCGTTGGCTCGAGCACTTTTCGATGGAGTCTCCGGCGTCGCTCACTTTGACCGAGGAAAATGTCAAGGGTCTGGTGCGCCTGTCTGCTTTTCAAATGTCGTATATCCATCTCTTGACACTTACGTTCTGCCAGCCTATTTTGGGATTCACGTTTATGGTGCGTCCTCCCCCTATCTCTAAATTCCTCATTCAACTCGGATAGTGAAAAACTGACACACACGCTGTTGCATAGATATGGGTGTGGATAAAGGAGCTTCCGGCGACGACGCACCCGATCTTCACCGCGCGTATCGGCCCGAATTCACGGACTATGGTGGCGCTCAGTCTGCGCGGCGACGGAAAGCTCGAGCTCGGCACGTCTTCGAATCGCGAAGTTGGCGTGTTCCGCAAGAGCAACGTGCACAAGATGCGATGGACGCACATTACGCTCGTGCATTACCCACATCGGGCGTCGAATCCTACTATCCGTAAGTAGCTTTTCCTTCAGGGCAACACCGCACGAGGTGTTTTTGGGTTCAACTTAGCTGACTTGGTTAATGCACGCAGGGTTGTACATCGACGGGGTGTTAAACGACGGGCTGAACTGGACCTATCCGAAATTCGAGTCACAGCCGCAGGCGGTGAAGTATGTCCTCGGCGACGACTTGAAAAAGACGCGGATGAGCTGGTGCATCGCTTCTGCGCACCTCATGTCGTTTCCGTTCGGTGCGCCTCTTGCCTTATTCGATTTCAAAATTGAACTTACTCGTATGAAAACTCAATCAAACACAGGCGACGACCTCCCGCGATTCATCCATCACCTCGGGCCGCGCTACTCCGGCAACTTCCAGGACCCGCTCCTCGTCAAGTTTCTCACCTACGAGGCCTCCACGTCTCTCAACATGTACCTTTCCACCGTCGCCGCCAAGTCCCCCTCCGTACCTGCCGCGTCCACTCAGCTCATGAAAGTCGTGAAAGACGGGCTCGGCATTGCGGAGAACTCGATCGTGTTCTCGGTGTCGCCGTTGAGCTGTGCCGTGACTGATACGGAGAGCGGGGTGGTGCCGGCGAACGGGTCGAAGCGGGTGTTCAAAACGGATGGCGATGTATTCATTGTGAAGGCGGCGTGTCTGGATTTATCCCTGTGGAAGATCGGCGGCGCGGCCGTGCCGTTGAGGTTGCTTCAGGTTGCGAATGTACGACGCGTTTTCCTTCTTGTGTTGAATTCACCGGTCTGATGTCGATTGTTTTTTTCAGACGCCACACGAGGTGTCGAGGGCGCTCGGTGTGCTGATGGACGGCCTGCGGAATAGTTGGCAGAACTCGGAGGATATGGAGCGGTTGCGCGGGTATGAGATTCTCGCGAGCGTGCTGAGGCCGAAAGCGCAGATGGTCAACATGACCGGATTCGAGACCATCTTTGAGTTCCTCGGGTTCAACTTCCGATCACCCGAGTTCGTTTTCATTTTCAACTTTGGCCTGCACACGCCGTGCTGACAGTTCTTCCTTTGTTCTTGACAATTACACACAGACATTCGACCGTCGTGAACGCCGTCGCATACCGCGCGATCGCGCTGGATTTTGAGCTGTGGGCGCGGACTCGACAAGAGGTGCAGCGCGTACACCTCGAGCACTTTACGACGCTCCTCATCGCAAGCCGGTACAAGAAGTTCAACGTCAAGCAGCGCTTTGCGAAGATCGGCCTCGTGCGCAAGCTGCTCTTTGCGCTGCAGACGAATTGGTATCAGCCCGAGGTCATCCCGTACGTTATCGAGGCGCTCAAGGCCGCCGCTCAAGCCAACTTCTCCAAGGAGGAGGCGATCAAGCCGATTGTGTCGTACCTCGCTGCGAACCTCCACGAACAGCCGCCCGCGGAGAATGGCGCCGGGGCGAGCTCGCCGCAGAGCCTGCTCTCGCGCTTCGACTACAAGGACCAGGACCCGCGCGACAAGGCCGAGCAGGTGCTCGAGATGCTCATCTCGCTCCTGTCGATTCCCGCTCTGTACAACAAGTTCGCGACGGTGCTCCCGCTCACGCGGATATGCATCCTGCTGCTGGGGGATCGGCCGACGCCTGCCATCGCGAACCAGATTCTCATTCTCATTGCGATCAGCAACGATATGTCGCCGGCGTTTGCGCGCAAGTTTGAGCTGATTAGCGGTTGGAGTGTCTTGAAGACGGTCTTGCCGTCGTGTTGGGACCCGAGCGTCAACGAAGCGGCGTTGGATATCCTCCTCGGGCGGCCCGGCCATGGACACGACCCCAAGAGCCCCAACCTTGGGGCGAACGGCGCAGGGTCGGTGAACATTGTGTGTCCGCACATCGTGCCCACCATCTTTTGTGCTCTTCAAGTCGGGTTAGCTCACATTTCGAGGAACTGTGACGTTGCTGATGGTGAGTTGAAATGTTCAATTTCCGTTTGCGCGTGTTTGCTGACAGCGTTCGACGAATGACTAGACTCCGATGCGTCGTGGGCTGTCGAATCGACGATGGAGGTACTGATTGAAGAGCTGATGGACCTGCACGCGTCGAGCAGTGGGTTCCGCGAGGTGTTCAAGTCACAGCAGACGACGCAGCTGTTCGTCAACAGCTACAAATCGTTTGTCGCGCGCGTCACCGGCGCGACACAGATCAACCAGCGCACGATTCGGATTCTTGAGAAGCTGACGCATTTCGGGCTGGGTTTGGCGCTTGATAATGCGGTCGCTGGTGCACAGAAGCGCGAGGTATGGTTCAGTTACAAGCCGTTCTCTATGGTTCAAAACTGACAAATTCTTGAGATCTTGGACATTCTGCAGGGGGCAGAGGCGGTGTTGGCTCCGTCGGCCGAAAAGACCGAGATTGACCCATCGCTCGTCACTGACTCGCGAACGGTTCGGCAGAGGATCGCATCGGCCAGATTCAGCATCCAGGTCGGTGAACGGACAGTAGTCAAAACTATGACAAGGATGAACGAGTGGCGGTTGACCATCCAATCCTCGGAACGCAAGCGGCTGCGCAAAAATATCTTGGATCTGTGGGTTTTGCCGTCGTATTTTTATTCGAATGGCTAATATTCGTGTTGTCCTTCAGTCGAGAAAATAGACGCCAGGTGTCGCGCTTAACGGAATGGTCTAATCTTTTGACGTCTGAGCGGGGTTTGTGGCCCAATCCTGAAATCCGGGCATGGCGGTTAGATGAGACGGAAGGACCGCACCGCGTTCGGTGAGCTCCTCACTGGGAAATACTCTGCCTGATACTGACGACGAAATTAGAACAAAATTAGAACCCATGAACGACAAATCTCTTGCCATCAGGGTCGACACGAGCGACCAGAGCATTCGTAATGTCGAAGCACCTGAAGCAGATT